AACTCATATCTAACTGTTATCATGGCCTTACCTTTTTGGCCTGTTCGTCTTCTTGCATCATTTTAATTAACAACGGAGTATGGTCATTCACGGGCAGGTCGTACACTGCAGGAGGTAGGAATTCCTAAACAGGAGGGGGAGGCCAGGGCAACAGTGAGTCGAAAACACGTACCCTAACCAGAGCATGACATATATGGCAGCATACAGAATACACGGGTACGTAGTGATTGAACCTGCCTGTTCCTGTATTTTAACTTCTGGTAGCATGTTGGACTTGCCAAGACTTGTAAGGAAGATATATGCTTGAAACGTCTGGTTGGCACTGCAAGAAGACGAGGTCTGGTAAGATATTATTGCTAACGGGAAACAACCAGCAACTAAGCGTGCATACTATCGACCTGAGGTTCTTATGGCAATCTTGTAAGGAGGGTGAGTCCGGGGAATCCTAAGCCTGCCATGAATTCGACAGGTTTAGCTTCATGCTTTTGTACGATAATAAGAGCCTGCGAGGCAAGGAAACATGTTAAATCAGCATGAACCAATGCAACAAAGGGTAATAGCAAGCTGTTCAAACACCTCGAGCTGAGTAGCGGTCTTTCTTTTCTCTGTTTAGTGACCTTTTCCTTGTCACCAAATCCCTCCCAAAAAGAGAACAGGACTGTTACATCTTCATAATTGACCTGCCAAATACCAAGGAAAACGGCGGCTTTAAACAATCAGGCACTTTTAGGGCCGGGTTCAAGCCCTGTCTAGCGTGCCCCAACCATGTACACTCACGTCGCTGTTGTCTGGTTTTTGCAGGAAAAACACTCTGGTGTTTTGTACGCTGTCAGAAGAGAATTAACGTCGGCTTCTAATGGTTCCAAGGATCTCACCTTGTATTTGTCAACATGCGGCTGGAACCTCTCAATAAAATTCTCGGCCTTTCCTCGTTTTACTTTATCCAATTCCCAGCCAATGCTTTTGATTCCGAACAAGAACGCGACTATTACCAGGGTCCTGAAAGAAGGTAAACAAAGTTAAAGCGAGTACGACAGTTGTAGTACATGTGTGAGCGTCGTACTTCAGTGCACATTTCCCACCTGCCAACACCAGCCCCGATGTCCCCGAAGACGCGTTTCGTGCGTAGGAGGCCAGCTCTGACAAGAACCAGTAGGACTATAGTTAATGTTGCAATTGTCAGTGACCCGTACACGCCTTCCACTCCTTCCCCACCGCAGATTTGGCGCTGCATGGAAAGAAAGATAATTATGCGTGAACCATTTACAACTGCAAGGCTGGAAATTTAACACCGCCTTACCTCAATAACCTCGAGTCTTTTCTGGAGGAAAAAGGTCAGGCGCCCAAGTAGCGTTAAATTCTCGGGCGACTTGCGTTTAGGGGCCATAAATGGCGCAGCCTACATGGCATGGGAAGGCAGGCAATTTAACGGGGTGGCATAGCATTCTGGCGATTAAATTACCGTATTTTACCTGCTAGAGTTCCTGCTGCCGTGGTATCGTCTTGAGGGGGCGGCGGTGTAGCCAAAAGTCCATGGTGGACAAAGTAGCGAGCATGCATAGCATTGAAAAAGTAGGGCGAGGTTAGATATCGTTTTAGGGGCCTGTATTGAAATTAAATCGCAAAAATTGAGCAGCACTTGGTCTTTTCATTCCGTGTGGCGGACACTACCCGCTGGCATCTTGTAAAAGCCCTTGGGCACGGTCCTCCGAGGGAATGTCAAGAGCAAGGTTGGGGAGTCCAGAATCCGCGCATGCAAATGACCCACCTGATGGATTACGGTGGGCGGGCTTGTCACGGCGGCCTTGACTGCTTGATTTTGTAGCCCATAGTCCGAAGCGCACATGCAGGCAATGAAAGGCAGTAAGGCAGAGTTAGAAGCTGTCAAACGGCTATCCGTCTAAGCTGTAAATTGCCTACATGCGGCATCACTCGGTCTCTTCATTCAGTGTGGCAGACACCACCCGCTCACTTCTGCTAGCAGCAGTTGGGCATGGTCTTCCGTAGGAATGTCGAGAGCAAGTATAAAAGGCGTAGAAATGGCGCGCTTAAACTAAGGACACACCTGGAATTGACGGTGCCTTGTGACAACCTTGGCTGCTTGGCACGTAGTCCATTGTCAGAAGCGCACATGCAGAGCATAGGAAGGGAATACGACGAGGTTAGCAATGTCTTTGAGCTGGTTGTGTAAGCAAGACAAACAAGAAAAGATCAGCGCTCGGTCTCTTCATTCCATGTGGCCGACTCAAGCCGCGCACTTCTAGGTCAAGAAGCTACGGCCAGGGTCTTCCGGAGGAATGTTGAGAGCAAGCATATGGAATACACGAGCGTGCTCAAACGGCTCACCTGGATACGTATGATGCGTTGCAGCTCACGGGCTGGTTGGGTACATGTCTTGCTGAGGCTGTTTATGGCTCTCAGAGCCAATCGAGTCCTTCAAGGTTCTGCGCATAAAGAGGATACAAGGGATGGGGAACGGACTCGACTTAATCTACGGGGCAAAACGATCTGGCGGGTGGTTCAAATTTAAGCGAACATGGCAGCGCGCGCACTTCGGTTTCTTACATTCTGCTGCGTTGTTTCACAAGAAATATCCCAAAAGCAACAATGCTGTGGCATTAAAGGACACAGATAGCTTTGTTTGCGTGTAAGGGTGCGAGTGGTGACCAGAATGTCTCCATCCATTTGTCAATGGATACCTCCCCTTGCGCAAATCGTTCACTGTTCGAAGCTAAGAATAATGCTATGCAGAAGTGTTAAAGCAAAGACACATCCGCTTACCTTTCAGGCTTGGATGTGTACCCTTGGCGCGAGCTTCCCTAGTTGAGACCTGCAAGGCACTTAAAACTGCAAGCCCACAGCTTGAACATAAGCCCTTTATGTATATATCATTTAATGTATTAATATGTTGAGAATGCAAGTTGTAGGAGACCTCCTACTAGGATCGTGAGCCCGCTCGTCGTACCAGCTAGTTGGCGCCATTGCACCTATGGCAGCAATTGCAGCCCTGTGCGCATACAGTGTTTGTAACACATAACATATACTAAACCAAACATTCTTCGGCTATAATTGTGGGCTTTTCAGAAATCGCGACGGATAGGTCTGACAACCATTGCCAAACAGTTGGAACTGCGCCCAGCGCTGGGACGTAAAGACATGAAATCTTTGATTTGATATGGTTGCAAAGCTCTAGTTAGCGTATGAAACGTTTGGTCTTCCTAAGCAGGAAGCTCGATATTATGCAAAAGCGGAAACGCACGAAGCAAAAACGTGTACATCTTATGAACCCGTATACGTTAAAGGAGCCCCTAGTTGTGCGCAAGTCTTTGGGTCGGAGCATTCTACCGGTTATGATGAGAAGCTCGCCTCTTCTTGCTGCCTATATCCAAAGCGTAAAAGCCTGTATGCAACTGGTTACTGTTGAATCGACTCTCGTGGGGAGACGGCGTAAATTAAGATGTCTTCTGTCGAGCCGGTAACTTGACATGGAGCTGGCTGGACAGCCCAACGAACACGTAAACCGCGCTAAAACATAGTCACAGGGAAGACTCTAGTTTAGCGAAGCCCATAGTAGTGCTTACGTCTTGCGCGCGAGTCGGGGCATTCCGCCGATTGCCTGAGTAGCCCGACTCTCCTTGCTGCTGTGGGAGCCTAAAGCATTAAAGCGCGCATGCTGCATGTTACAATTAGATTGGCTCTTGCGGGAAAACGGCGGTATATAAGGCTGTCTCGTGTTTTCCGTCAAACCGGTAAAATGACATGGAGCTCGCTGGACAGCCCAACGCACGAGTCAAGTGCTGAACATGGCAACAGCCAAAGGGATTATGTCAGGGATATTGTGTTGCTGACCCCGTGTACCCAAGCAACTAGTGTCGTTGTAACTCAGCTACAGAATAGGCAGGGTCCGTGGGTCTCTGTTGGCCTTTTGTTACTCCCTGTTGCATGTATGGCTTTTCCTTTGTGCTGGATTCACCAAAACGATATGTTTCATGGGCCTGTACACCGTCCACCGCCTGGCTAGCTAACGAACAGTACGATGCCACCACTGAAACCCATGGACACATGATTAAGATGAAGAAGCTAATGGCTATTGAAAGGTGGATATTACCTTATTGGGCCATGGGTAGCCCTCATGTGGCGTGCAGCTAGAGCTGTTGACTACTACTGGAGATGAAACTGCCTGCACTACGTGCATGCACCTGACACAAGGGTACGAGAAGAACTTCTTAGGTAGCCCTACGTACTTTTTCCTTGCATGCAATCTCTGCACAGGCACTGCATTGCTTGCTGGGCTGGAGAGGTCTGGTGTCTTGCCTTAAGTTAGATGTGCAAAGGTAACTGCTTTATGTCTGAATACGACGTCACTTGCCTGGTACAGGTTTCAGCTTGTATTTGTGCATGGAGAGCCGTGGATGAACGTCACGTATGCACGGATTACTGTTACAAAGGCCTTGTCTTTAGCCACAAACAGATACCTGGGTAGGGAAGGCCAGGTCTGAGCCCCACAGGACGTGCACTTGCACTCGTCCTTCTAAGCGTTCATAGTACAACGTACAATACCCTTAGTACGACTTGAGTCAGACATCACACAAAACAGAACCCCCTTGCTGAGACATGGTCTTCTATGCCCACACATTAACATAATGATCTAAAGTAACACGAACCCGCATCTTAGGAAACCTCATAACCAGGTGCTAAATGCTTAAATGTACCTACTCCTGCTAGTCGCCTACCCCATACCCCAAACGATTCCCTTCAGTGGCCGCCTTGCCTTCCCTGCCGCTTCGGCCGTCGGTCTGCCTCCTCGTCCCACTCCTCCTCCCCCTCCTCCTCGGGATCGGACTCTTCGGATTCATCTCCTCCTCCCACCCGCCCTCCTCTGGTGTTTCCTGCCCCAAGTCCTCCCATTCACCTTCTACCGCTCTCTGCCTCCTGGCATAGCTCCGGCGGCCGCCCCTCGTACCGTAGCCACCCCCCTCGACCCTCCTCGTCCTCCTCACCCCCCCTCATCGTCGCCCATGCCCCTCAACGGGCCCTGGCCATCCTCTGCATCCGCAAACTCGCCGTCACCACCCTCATGATATGCATTGTATGCGCCGTACCCCCCGTGCATGCTACCATCCATGTTTGCATCACCCTGGCCGCTTGCTGCTCCAAGCTCTTGCTGCCTCCTAGCACCAGCGTCCAAGCCACCATCGCCTCCCGCCAGATCACCAAAGCCTCCTTCCAAGCTGCTGCCTCCTGCTGCCGATTGGGGGTTGGGTCCCATCCCACTTGCCGTACTGCTAGGCTGCCCATGAAAGCCGTCCGCTCCTTGTGGCCTCCTTGCGGCTTGGGCTGCATCTGCCTCAGCACTGCTTGCCCATGAACAACCTGCGAAGTCCGGCCGAGCAGTAGGGCGAGGGGCTGGTGCATGCGAGGGCCGACCCCTAGGTTCTGCCAGCTGCTGCTGGAACCTCTCGCCAATAGCCGCTGCTACGTCCTGCGGCTGCTGCTCCCCACCTTGCACCGCCGCTGCTGCCTCCCCCGGCTCCTGCCCCCGGCCCTCCGCCGCCGCTGCTGCCTCCCCCGGCTCCTGCTCCTGGCCCTCCGCCACTACTGCTGCCTCCCCCAGCTCCTGCTCCTGGCCCTCCGCCGCTGCTGCTGCCTCCCCCGGCTGTGGCACCTGGCCTTGAGGTGCATCGGTCCCCTGCAGCTGCTGCTCTTGGCCTTCTGGTGCACCTGCTGCTGCCTCAGGAGGAGTCTTGCCCGCTGCCACCTCATGCCCCTGCGGTTGCGCCTCGCCTGCCGCTGCTGCTGCGTCCCTGGGCCGCTCTTCCTCGCCGCTGCCCCCGCTGCCCTGCCGCCGAAGCTTCTGCTCACATATCAGCCTCCAGTCCTCGAGACGATCCACCGTCGCCTGCATCATCGCGGAGTCATGGTCCTTGATGTAGTTTGAGTCCCACGCAGCTTGGGAGTTGCCCATGATCTGAGCGTCACCATCCAGGTGGGTCCTCCCGGCAGCAACCTCCCGAATCACTGCATTGAACTCGCTGTTGGCGTGAATGTGGCGGAAAAGGCGTGCTGTGAATGGCTGCCATGGCGCACTGTGCTGCTGCTGGATGCGGTTCCACAAGGCTGCTACTGTGGTGCCGCCCGAAATGCCAAGAGCCTTCCCTCGCCCGGTAAGGAAGAGGAAGGGAACTGGCGCGGTCTCCTCCCCCTCCTCATCCGTGTCGTCGTCGCCAGCAAGTATCGGCCGGATGTTGTTGATGTAAGACAGCGCACGTTCCGCCAGGACCTTGGGCAGCTTGAAGGTGATGGGCTTCTTGCGGAACCGCTCCGTCTTGTGATGGAATAGCTCCACCTTCATGCCGCCAGTGGGTTCTCCCGAGCGTGTTGTCAAGGCACGCAGGGTATTCCCCCGGCAGTTAGCCCTGGAGCAGCACGCATGCGTGCACACATCGCGGCCAGGCACCTTGAGCGTCGCAATGCAGGCCAGGCGCAGCGGGGGGACATAGAGCCCGCACAGGAACTCAGCCAGCAGAGCGTCCCTCTGAAGGAGAGCTGTCTCGAAGCTGATGTCACCCGCCACCATGTCTGCGGAAAGGGCGTCGTCTGCCTTCTGACGCAGCTCCATCACGAACCGCAGGAGCAGCACCTTGTCAGGCAGACCCGTGGGTCCGTCCTCGTCCTCCTCGTCGGAGTCCACATCAGATGGCGGCGGGGCAGGCGTAGGGTAGCTTCGGCGGAAGCTGTCGGATATCCTCTTGAGCCACTCCACCATGTCCATGAGCTTCTCCCTCTGTGCAGTGAAAGGGAATACCGGGGAGAATGCTAAGGCTAATAGGAGATTGAAAGATACATTATTAAACAAGGTAAACACTGCATGCATCATATCTCCCCACCGACCATGCGTTACACAAGCAATAGTATATATGGTAGGGAAGATGTAAAAAGCAAATGTTCTTGCGTCATGCAGGCATGGATGGGGATGGGTCTAGAATAAGCACCACAGCATCTCCCATACTACTGACCTCTTTGTCCGTCAATGTAGGATCGTAGCTCTCCAGGTATACGACCAGCCGCTTCAAGCGGCAGACCTCAGTCCCCAAATGAGCAGCAGCACACCGCATCATCATAAAGTCGAGGTAGCGGATGACCAACGTCTACAGGCGCAAAGGGGTATAAGCGATGCTGAGCAGGATGGATGTGGCATGGCGCTTTCGTACAGATACAGCCTTGCATGTGCAGGCAAGTACAGGCAAGACCCGACTCACTCTTCCTCACGTACTCCCATCCCATGACACCCCCATGAATTGCAGACCGAAACCCAAACTACAATCATAGGACTAAGGAGGCTTACCGGGTTGCCTGCCAAGCGCAGGGAGATGAACTTGGGGGGTACACACTCCACGAATCTGCAGAAGCCCAAGAACTTGGACACCGTGTTCAGGATTCCATTCCAGGTCTCCTTCTTGGCCTGAGTGAATTCCGCGACGGTGAAGTCGAAGGCCTCGGTACACCACCACTCGTAGTGGTTGAGCTCCTTGCCGACTGGCATCTGCGCCGGTATCTTCTTGAGGATAGCCAGAAGCCCAAACTTCTTCTTCTTCACCACGTGAGAAGGCCAGCAAAGAAGGGGCACGTTTGATGGAAGCTTGGCTTTACGCCCACCGCTGCCAGCGCCCTCATCCTCGCTTTCAACCTCATCCCCGCCCTCACCCACACTGCGGACCCTGCCGAACTGATACCACTTGGTGTCGCCCGGTACCCGATCACAAGGGAAGGGTATAGGCGGCGGGCCCGGGTCCTTACCCCGCTGCTGGGCAGGTCTCTGCCGCCGACCACGAACCCAGGCGGCTTGTTGCACGGCGTTTGGAGGTGGCCGAGGACCAGCCATTTGCCCGGGAGGTGGTGGTTGCTGCTGCTGCCGTTGCTGTTGAGGCGGGAGCGGTGGCTGGCGCTGCGGTGGGGGAGGTGGGGGTGCCGGCTGCCGTTGGTTTTGTACCGGCTGGGGGTGTGGTCGCAGCTGCGGCGGCGGCGTGGGCTGCTGCTGCTGACGTTGTGGTGGAGGTGGAGGGGATCGAGGCGGCCGCTGCCAATGGTCCTGTAGCGGTTCTTCCTGGGTTTGCAGAGGCGGCTGGGGCTGCTGGCGCTGCTGCTGCGGTAGGGGAGGTGGAGGTGCCTGCTGCTGCCGCTGCTGATGGTTTTGTACCGGCTGGGGGTGTGGTCGCAGCTGCGGCGGCGGCGTGGGCTGCTGCTGCTGACGTTGTGGTGGAGGTGGAGGGGATAGAGGCTGCCGCTGGGGCTGCTGGCGCTGCGCTGGTTGTGGCAATTGCTGCCGTTGATACCGTTGCCGTGGTGCTGGTGGCGGGGTGCCGTACCCATCCTCCTGATCGCTGTCAACATCCATGGCAGCCAGAGACAGCTGGTGAGATGATGGGCTGTCCCAAGCAGTGCGAAACAAAGCAGGGCGGCTGTAGAGGCCTGGAGGTTCCGCTGCTGTAACATGGCGCTGCTGTCGAGCCTCATTTGCCGGAGCCATCCGACCACGCTCCTGCATAGATAACGAATGACAGCAAAGCGTGTAGGGCACCCACGGTTAGCAACCAAGGATAGGGATGCGAAGGTAAAGGCGACAGCGGCAATGCCTCGCCCATATTTTAACATAACCTACAGCTTTCTTTAAAAGCTTTCAATGCAAGACTGATTACAAGCATGCGCGCGTGCTGGCAGAGGATCCCTGGCAAGAAAGATAGCAATCCTCCCACATGGGAGCCCTCGGCTTACCGTCGTCCGTCGTTTTGGTTGATAGCTCAGCTCCTCCTCCTCCTCCTCCTCATCGTCTTCGTAGATAGCAATCGGCCGCCTACCATTCTTCTTGGCCTTTTTACTGATGGCTTTTCGCCTCCATACGTCCTCCGTCCTTCGCTTCATTGATCCCTTGTGACCCTGCACAGCATTAATGATTTAGGTTAGTTGTCACTACGATTGTATGTCCCTGGTGCGAAACACCCCTTGAAGCTTTGGCCACCACAAAATACATATTCTCCCCACAAGACGCTTCTATGAAAGCATCTTACCCAATGCAACTAACGCATATCTGATCATGCTATCCTAAGCCATATTTGAGATGTAAGTGTTTCTGTTGGAAATGTCGGCACATCAGGCAACGCGTCTTATGTTTTTTATCATCCCTCGCATATTATATGTTGACGTGTGTTGTGTGTCTTGGCAAATAATAAAGCGCCTGCTACCGTCGAGCCAAGGGCAGGTTACCGTCCGGAACCGGTATGCAGTACACGGTTGCAAAGCACCTGTTAGATGCATACCAAACCTAGACACATGCCGCCCAGCACTTATGCTGACGAACATGCATACTGCAGCCATCGCAAACGTGCATTTCTGCGTGTGGTATCCTGTGGTTCGGTCTGCAAGCATGGGGTTTGTTCGACTTTGGCGGAGTGGCCTGTGGTTGACGTTTGGTTTCTTGGTTCACAACGGTATCACTGGGGTGGGCTCTCATAGAGGGAGGGTTCGGATTGGGTTTGCTTGGGTACGTGTCGGCGTGGTTCTGTGGGGTTGGATTGGGTTTGGTACGGTTGCAACGGCTGAAGTACATTAGAGTTAGTTTTGGTGCTGGGTGGTTGACGTTTTGGTTATATTGGATTTGGTTGGGTTTGGTGGGCTGGTAAAGGTTGCGGTTTGCTTTGCTTGCCTACGGTTGGGTGTGGTTCTGCACGGTTCTGCACGGTTCACTGTGGTTACATGGGGTAAAGTACGGTTGAGCTGGGTGCGGTTGCATGGGGTTCCATACGGTTTAGTGTGCTTTGGTCAGGCTGGGTGCGGTGGGGTTGCTGAGGTTCGCCACGGTTTTGACAGGGTTCGGTGCGGTTCCGGCCCAAGGGTCGGCGGATTACCCTTGGGATCTTTTCGCCTGACGCCCTATTTGACCCAAGAGGGCCCGGGCAATATGCCTCCTGTCGTACATTTGTGTTCTAGTTGGACAGCCTGTGTGTTGCACGTGCAGTTGATGGACTATGCCTGCTTTTTCCCCTTCCCAGCTAGGGCAACATCACATGTGGGTGTTTGCTGTGTCTTTTAGCCTACTGTGCCCGTAATTGCTGTGTTCCATTCCCTTATGGTGCACATGCAGCTGGCGACAGGCCTCACAACTGTCTTTGGGTGAAGTACACATTGTTTGATGAGGATGTTCGTTGGAGAGGCCCCATGCTCACTCCCCCCACACATCCACTCCCAGGAGCACCATGCGACGACTGTGATTGATATTATCCTATGACCCATGCCTAATATGCACAGCCCACGTCAGGCAAGGCGCTGAATCCCGGATTGGCCGCGTGGGAGGTGTGATTTGTTGGGAGTGGTCACCCTTGAGCAGGGTGACGAGCTCATGACCAGCCGCGCTTAGCCCTGAAATTGCACTAAAGCGCACACATACTCGCTCAAACAAGCATACCAGTAACAGGTTCCTTACGGGTTTTGGAGGAAGCGGGCAGAATAAGCTGCCTCATGCCCCGTTGCCGTACATCAGCAGCGGCATAGCAGAGGCTCGCATTGTGCCTGCGCACGCTTACTTCACTACTGTTACAACACACTGATGTATAAATAGGTAAAATACTTCACGTCCTGTTTTTATGGACAGAGTTCGACGCAAACGATCTGGAGGCGGTGCTGGGCCGGAGAAAGCACTCGGACTTTTTGGCCGTCGTCTTGGAGCAGCGTCGGCTTTTCTCATCCGTTTAGGAGCACCTAGCAAATCAGGTGCGTTGGGAGGGCCGGAGCGCTTGCTATGAGTGCGATCTCCTGCTGCTCGTGTCTGGGCCGAGCTCTCGTTAGAGGCCGTAATGAGGTGCACGCGGGCTTGGCACATACAACATCGTGTTCCTTGATATGAGTGTGTGATTTGCGGTGCAGCTAGCTTCTTTCATCTGAGCCTCGCATCGCATTTTCCAGTGTCCGCGTAGCAACCATAACTTACACCAGCGTCTGCTGTTCCTCTCTGTTTAGGTTACAAGCGCTTGGCAGGCTGCTGGTGAAGGAAGGGCGTGCCAGTGGAGCGGCGCGGTTGGTTGGATGGAGGTGAGAAAGGCGGTTGCCAGCAGCCCAGCTTTTGCATACGGGGGCTGATGCTGTCTGGGACTCTCTATTTCCAAACCCCTTTCTGTTGCTCTACACTGCTGTTAGCACCACGTTAGCACCCCTGCGTCCTCACCCTCTTGCGCGCTCTTCTCCTCTCGCCGCCCTGCTTACCCTGCGCCCTGCTGCTGCCCCGACTACTTCTCTCCCCCCCCGCTTGCTAACATGTTCTCCTTCCTCTCGCATGCTCCTCTTTCTCCTGCTGCTCCGTCCTTTTCAGAGCCCTCCCCGCCGCTGAACAGCTCTGCAACGCACCGCCCAGCCATGCGTTCTTTCATGGGACTGGCTCCTCCTCCCTCTCGGTCCCTGTCTCTGTTACCTCGCCCCAATCAGCCCTTCACTGCTACTCCCTGGCCTGCACGTCACTGGCCAGCGTTCACCCCGCCGCGCGCCATTGGTTAAGCTCCTATAGCAGGACATGTGAGTTGGGTCATTGTAGGGCGGGCGGATTTGTGCAGGGAAGGGGGTTGTGTAGTGGATTGGTGCATGGCAAGACGGGGGAAACTTGGGGGCGCCTGCAACACCTGCAACACAGTTGAGACCCGTGGGTCGCCATGGTGTTGGGCAGTATCCATGTGTACCTCCTCCGACCGCCTGTCATACTCGGTCGTGCGTGTTCCCTTACTCATTCCCTCCCGCTCCTGTCTCCCTCCCGCCCCCCCTTCATGCAGCCCTCTCTCACTGTGGACTCACGGAGCCCCAGCAGCAGCAGTGGCAGGAGCAGCAGAACCCCATGAATGACCTTAGCGGGTGCAGGGAAGGGGGTCCCTCCTCCCCCTCCCTCCCGCCTGGCGTGCCGTTACCTTCACCAACTTGCCCGCCGTCGCCAGCACCGCCCAGCCTGACATCGACCTCGCCTGCAGCGCCCAGCCCTCTCCCTCCCTCGCCCTCACCGCCCAGCCCTCGCCTACACCGCCATCTCCTGCACTTCAACCGCCTGGCGTTCCGCCTCCATCCCTCACCTTCTCTTCCCAGCCTTGCACCACCACCACCTCCTGCGCCGCTTCCTGCATGGCGTGCTGCCACCTTCGCTGGAGCCGCCCAGCCTTGCACCACCACCACCTCCTGCGCCGCTTCCTGCATGGCGTGCTGCCACCTTCGCTGGAGCCGCCCAGCCGCTCATCCGCCGTAGCTTATATAGCAGCAGATGTGAGTTGGGTCAAAGTATGACGGGCAGAGGTCCAGGGAAGGGGGTCGTGTAGAGGAGGGAACTTGGGGGGCACCGGGCGGTCCTGCTAACACCTGCAACACAGGGCACAGCGGCTGTTGGATGGCCTGGGCTGTACAGCAACGCCTGCCCCTTGCCTGTCGTCGTACTCCTTTGCATGCCTTCTTATCCGCCTCCTCTCCCCCTCCCGCCTCCCTCCCGCCCCTCCCCTCCGCCCCACAGTCGTCTCTACACAGGACAGTGCTGAGCCTTTGCTGTTCCGCTGCTGCAACCGCCCAGCCCCCACCGGCGCTGCCCAGCCCGCCTCCCCCCTAACCAGCATCAGCCAGGCTGCTGCCACCCTCACCGCCCCCAAGCCCTGGCACCTCCGCCCCTCTGGGCACCCTCTGGGCACCCTCTGGGCCCGCTCTGCCCAGCTCGCTGCCGCCCTCACCCGCACTGCCCAGCCCTCACGGCCGGCCTTCCCGCCACACAGCCAGCTTCCTCCCTCGCCTGTTCAGCCCAGCCCCACTTTGCCTTCGCCGCTGTTCAGCTTGTTGCCGCCTTTACCAGCACGTCACCGCCATATCCCCAGCCCCCAGTCAGCATCCGCCGTAGCTCACCTGCAGGCCGGAGCCCCTGACTGGTCTGCATCGTCCATCACCTTTTGAGGAGTTCCACGTGTGGCCCGTCGCCTACAAAACAGGTGAGTGACCCATGGGTCATCAGCACGCTCAGGGCAAGGGGTTAGGGCGCCGTTAATGCACGGTGTTATGGGTGGTCTCCCTCTTGTCTCCTCCTTTTCTTCTATGAAACACACACCCATACAACGCTCAGACTCAAACCGGTTCCCCTCCCTCCCTTCCTTTCCTGCCCAACAGTGCCTGGCGGCCACCGAAATCACCTTCATCCTGAAACCGCCCCACAGTCGTCTCTACACAGGACAGTGCTGAGCCTCTGCTGGTCCGCTGTTGCAACCGCGCAGCCCCCACCGGCGCCGCCCAGCCTGCCTCCCCCCTAACCAGCGTCAGCCAGGCTGCTGCCGCCCTCACCGCCCCCAAGCCCTGGCACCTCCGCCCCTCTGGGCCCGCTCTGCCCAGCTCGCTTCCGCCCTCACCCGCACTGCCCAGCCCTCACGGCCGGCCTTCCCGCCGCACAGCCAGCTTCCTCCCTCGCCTGTTCAGCCCAGCCCAACTTTGCCTTCATCGGCTGCTCAGCTTGCAGCCGCCTTCACCAGCACGTCACCACCATATCTCCAGCCCCCAGTCTGCATCCGCCGTAGCTCACCTGCAGGCCGGAGCCCCTGACTGGTCTGCATCGTGCATCACCTGTTGTGATGTTCCACGTGCGGCCCGTCGCCTACAAAACAGGTGAGTGACCCACGGGTCATCAGCACGCTCAGGGCAAAGGGTTAGGGCGCCGTTAATGCACGGTGTTATGGGTGGTCTCCCTCTTGTCTCCTCCTTTTCTTCTATGAAACACACACCCATACGACGCTCAGACTCAAACCGGTTCCCCTCCCTCCCTTCCTTTCCTGCCCAACAGTGCCTGGCGGCCATCGAAATCACCTTCATCCCGAAAACGCCCCACAGTCTCCAGCTCCCAGTGACGCCCCGGTTGCCCAACCATCCCCTCAGCTTCTGCTGCTGCTGCTGTGGCCGCCGCCGTCGCCCAGTTAAACACCGCCCCGCCCCGCACCTCCATCTCCTGCACCCCTCCCGCCTGGCGCGCCGCCTCCCTCGACCTCACCGCCCCGCCCAGCACCGCCATCTCCTGCACCGCTCCCGCCTGCCGTACGATTGGTGGTTGGTTGGGGGCCGGGTGAAGTTGCTGACTACACCTCTCTACCTGACCGCTGCTGCTGCTGCTGCTGCTGTGGCCGCCGCCGTTGCCAAGTTCAACACCGCCCTCCCCAGCAGCACCCAGCCCGTCACCATCACCTACACCGCCCTGCTGTCACTACTCCCACCAACACCTCCAAGCTCGTACGGTTAAGTAGGGCGCGGTGTGGGGAAATATATCAACAACTTGCCCCATAACGCCTCCATCCCCGGCCTGTTATGTTGCCTATTATGCCTTGCCGGTAACGCTGCGATGCAACCCACCCACGCCCTGTGCTTGTGTGAAGCAATCCCGCGTGATGCAGGAGTCTCTTGGCTCTGCGTGTAGAGTTGCGAGCACCTAACCACAGTCCGTCTGTGCAACGTATTCCCTCACCACACGCTCAACTGCGTATCCAAAGGTCTTCTTCCTTGCACCTTGGTTGTTGCACTGCGGTCTGACCTGACCTGCTGCACCCCTCATGTGCTCTTGTTGCAGGGCAAAGGCGAGCACTAGCAAGACGAATCCGCCAGCCACGTACGTAGCCCAGGGTAAGCGGGGCGCGGTGTGGCCAAGACACTGGTTGTTCGACGCCGGTGTGGGGCGGGAGGAGGCGCAGGTTTCGGGTTGTGTCGTACTCTGGCGTGTACTCTGGCGGCGTTGGGGGTTCGTAGCACTGCCTCTTAAGTATGTATAGGTAGCCCGCCCCACGTGAGTGCCCCACAAGCGCAAATGGACGAGAGGGCAGCGCTGTTGAGAGCAGCAGACGTGCACAGAAGTGCTCAGGCATGATCAGGCATGATTTCGACAGATAAGCGCTGCCAAAGAGCATACACGCTGCCTTTTCGCCCTGTAACGCGCATCCGCCCTCCCTGCTGGCATCCTGCTTAACTTCATGTGCATGTTTACCCCCCACCCCCACAGGCACAGCACACAACGCTGTGGGTATCAAGCACGCAGTAGAGTCTGTGGGTGGGGCACGGGTGAGCTGGGGGTTGTATTGGGTTGGGCGGAGGGGGCGGGAGAACGAGGGATGTGTCTCTTTTACATGTGGGGGGAAAAGAGCTGCGTACGCTGCCCTGCTTTGCAGCCCCATGCATCCTGTCGTTATGTCCCTCTCCTCACTCTCAACTTACCGTGCTCTCACTACATACTGACACCCTTCTTGCCCTCTTCCCCTCATCCCCACCAAACAGAGAGATGGCGCAGCTCCTCCCTTTCCAAGCAATGGTCTGCGTCATCCCCTTCTCCACCCATACACCCCTGCCACCGCCGCTGCCGCCGTCGTCACTGCCCCTACCTCGTCCCTCCTGCCAAGATGCACGGGCGCTTCAATCCCCACCACCTCCCAGACAATACGGAGAGGGGCCGCCAACGGCTGGGGCTGGTTTGGGGTACGGCAAGGGGCAGGGAAGACCTAGCATGTAGTGGGCTAGCTAGTGGGCAGAGGCAACCCGCCAATAGCAACAGGCATATACTAATGGCTTTCACCCCAAGCATGCACCCTACCTTTGGGTCATCCTCCTCCTATCCATCATGTGCATCTGCATTTTACACCTGCTGAGCCTTCTCTCCCTGCCCCAAACCCCTTGTCTAGCAGGCGCTCAGCAGGCGCATGGTGAACTCCGGTGGGAGGGGCAGCACCACCGCGGCGTCACCATGAACCATGAGCCATCCATTCCTTCCCAACTGACAGGCAATTGTACGAAACAGGCAACACCACCAAGCGATCAAGACCCCAATCAAGACCAAGTTGTCATAGTGCCGCTGCTGCTGCTGCTCTGCCGCATGAAGAGCAGCAGCCCAATATGCTCCACCGCCACCTGCAGCACCACATTCTCAGCATGCAATGCCATGCCATCCATTCGTCGACGAGTCACGCGCGCGCGCACATAGCAGCATTCACTAAAGCATAATGAACAACAGCAAAACCACCTTTCATTGCATGTTTTCGTATTGGGATATGATAAGAAAAGCAGGGTCGCGCATGCAAGCGCACATACTTGGTGTATTTTATTTTCTTTTAAAGGGCCACCACATACTACTATACCTTGTTTTTTTCAATGGCAACATGGTTTACGACTGAGCTCGAACTTTTGGCCGGTAAAGCCATCGATGCGTACATGATTGTACGGATTTTTCGTTTCCGCGCATATCTCAACAAACCAAGCACACCATGGTGTTCAGCGTTGAATTTCCTGCAGGTCCATGTGTTTATTGAGGTAGGCGACGGACTAACAAGCCACTTGCAGTACACCCGCCCGAAGGTAGAGCACACTGCAGGTGACTCAAGGTGTTGCAAATGCTTACATTAAGTGCAAAGACATATACGCCTGTCCGCCCTGTAACACATCCTGTTTACGACCAGCTTGCGACCTCCGAACCAGCATTACAAGTTAGCCAAGAGGCGAACTGCCCAATGGCCAGTTACGTAGCGTTATGTAGTGCACATAGAACACTTAGGCAGGGCCTTGTCAGCTTAGGCCCAGCTGGCGACTGTGCGTTTCTTATTCAAACAGAATCGCAGTCGACCAGTCAGCGACAACAAGCACTGAGGAGAAAACAAAGACATACGAGCTTACGTTTATACTCTCAAGTAAGTTTTGCATCTAGCGGGTCTAATGGGCTCATATCCAGACGTCGGCATCCGCATCCGCCCTTACAGCAAGCGATACGTTCACCTGCTTGCCAATCGACGCGTTATATAAGTTCTTCTTGTCAATTCGACTTGATATCCCTAACCTTCTCCGCTCTTTCGATGGCGCGACGCAGAACCGGGCTCTGCTCCGTGTACCACGTACATGGGCTCGGAACTATGTTGCCGCGCCCTTCCCAGTGGCAGCAACTGGTGCTAACACGTAAGCAAACGGTTCACGGGGCGTAGGGGGCATTGGCAGGCACGGCGCTGAGCTGGGGTGAAGGGGAAATGGACGAAAGGCACCAAGGGGAACATGGTTGTGTTGCTGGGGACAGGAAGCAGGGAAGCACAGATTCTACAGCTGCCTGGCTCATAGGTCGCGCACTTTGCGATGTAAGGGACACGCTTATGTCTTGTGTGTGGCCGCGCGCGCTCCTGTGCTGCTGCTGATTGCAACATGGGGACCTGCTGTGACTGCCAACCCTGCCAACCCCCCTTGTGCTCATCCCTGTGCCTCCCCCACTCCCATGCCACGGTGTGTCCCACTGCACTGCTGCAGGCTGGTCCAGCGCTGACACCGTAACCCCTGTCCTCAACGCACTTATAATTTGGCGTAAAGCTGCTCAGGACGGAGCCGCACAGCGTCCCAAACACCAGTAAGTGGCCCATGGGTCACCCAGACCCCAAACACTCCCTTCTCTTAGATCATCGACGTCTCCACCTGCTCCATCGCTCCCCTATGCATGCCGCTTCTACTAGAGGTTCGCGCCTCATGAATGCAGCCCACCAGGCCCTCACAGCCTCACCTCCTGCAACCGCTCCTCCTCCAACCACCCCCTCCCCGCCGCCACTTCTCTCTCCTCTCCAACGCCTCCCTTCCTCCTTCGCCTCCCCCTCTTCCTCGTTCAAACCACAACCTCACAAATTAATGCTTCTACGTCAGTCGCCACCGCCAGGCCCTCTCAGCACACCGCCGTCCCCTCTTGTGCCAAGACTGATGCTGAGCCATGCAAGTGGAAGTACTTCGGTCACTTGCAGGTCTGCAACTGCACTCCTGTCTATGGACGTCGTACTTGCGAATCATGGGTATCCTGAAGGTCCCTTGGTTGTATTCTATCAGGAAGTGTGCTCCGTGAGACTAGAAATGCAGCATTCGTAAGGAGATCAGCTCCAGAACCGCTGGAGGGATGCAGGGTGGTTAAGTAGGTGTGTGAAGTCGGAAAGCCCATTTCGGGCCCATCCCTTTGCTGTTCCTTGCCTAGGTCACGGCCACGGCTTCCTTATGAAGTACCATGTAATGCAGCAAGGTTGCATGTGTTCGCGCATGAGGTTTAGCTGTGCGTTTGGGGACATTTCTGTGACAGCGGTAGGGGACGGTGGTGGTAAGGCCTAAGGGGGGCGCCGGACGGAATCCGCCGCGGATTGGCCAAGACGTTGTCGCCTGTTGCGGCCAAGCTATCCCTGGATAGCCCTTCACATATGCTATCCACTGGTGCCAGTGCGGTCGCGAACTTCAACGTGGGTGAAACGCTATGCCGTACGCGGTGCCGTACGCTTGGTGGTTGGTGGAGGGCGGTTTGTGACGTGGATGCCCATATCTGCTCCATCCCTTTGCTGTTTTGAGCCCGGATTGCGGCTATGGCTTCCTCTTAGAGTGCTCATAGATGTGGCAAGGTTGCATGTGTTCGCGCATGAGGTTTAGCTGTGCGTTTGGGGCGAAATGTGTGTAACCGGTAGGGGACGGTGGTGGTAAGGCCTCATGGGGGTGAATGCGGGAAACGGCCGCCGTTTACCCAAGACGTTGTCGCCTGTTGCGGCCAAGCTAGCCCTGGATAGCCCTTCACATATGCTATCCACTGGTGCCAGTGCGGTCGCGAACTTCAACGTGGGTGAAACGCTATGCCGTACGCGGTGCCGTACGCTTGGTGGTTGGTGGAGGGCGGTTTGTGACGTGGATGCCCATATCTGCTCCATCCCTTTGCTGTTTTGAGCCCGGATTGCGGCTATGGCTTCCTCTTAGAGTGCTCATAGATGTGGCAAGGTTGCATGTGTTCGCGCATGAGGTTTAGCTGTGCGTTTGGGGCGAAATGTGTGTAACCGGTAGGGGACGGTGGTGGTAAGGCCTCATGGGGGTGAATGCGGGAAACGGCCGCCGTTTACCCAAGACGTTGTCGCCTGTTGCGGCCAAGCTATCCCTGGATAGCCCTTCACATATGCTATCCACTGGTGCCAGTGCGGTCGCGAACTTCAACGTGGGTGAAACGCTATGCCGTACGCGGTGCCGTACGCTTGGTGGTTGGTGGAGGGCGGTTTGTGACGTGGATGCCCATATCTGCTCCATCCCTTTGCTGTTTTGAGCCCGGATTGCGGCTATGGCTTCCTCTTAGAGTGCTCATAGATGTGGCAAGGTTGCATGTGTTCGCGCATGAGGTTTAGCTGTGCGTTTGGGGCGAAATGTGTGTAACCGGTAGGGGACGGTGGTGGTAAGGCCTCATGGGGGTGAATGCGGGAAACGGCCGCCGTTTACCCAAGACGTTGTCGCCTGTTGCGGCCAAGCTATCCCTGGATAGCCCTTCACATATGCTATCCACTGGTGCCAGTGCGGTCGCGAACTTCAACGTGGGTGAAACGCTATGCCGTACGCGGTGCCGTACGCTTGGTGGTTGGTGGAGGGCGGTTTGTGACGTGGATGCCCATATCTGCTCCATCCCTTTGCTGTTTTGAGCCCGGATTGCGGCTATGGCTTCCTCTTAGAGTGCTCATAGATGTGGCAAGGTTGCATGTGTTCGCGCATGAGGTTTAGCTGTGCGTTTGGGGCGAAATGTGTGTAACCGGTAGGGGACGGTGGTGGTAAGGCCTCATGGGGGTGAATGCGGGAAACGGCCGCCGTTTACCCAAGACGTTGTCGCCTGTTGCGGCCAAGCTATCCCTGGATAGCCCTTCACATATGCTATCCACTGGTGCCAGTGCGGTCGCGAACTTCAACGTGGGTGAAACGCTATGCCGTACGCGGTGCCGTACGCTTGGTGGTTGGTGGAGGGCGGTTTGTGACGTGGATGCCCATATCTGCTCCATCCCTTTGCTGTTTTGAGCCCGGATTGCGGCTATGGCTTCCTCTTAGAGTGCTCATAGATGTGGCAAGGTTGCATGTGTTCGCGCATGAGGTTTAGCTGCACATGGGGCCCGGCTAGCACGACAGCAGTACGGAGCTTCATGCTAAGAGCTAATGAGACCGCTTGTAAACAATACATAAACCAGTACTTGTTATTTACAAAAGATTGAAGTGGGCTATAATCTACCGGGTTAACTAGTTACCTGGTACCGACGAGTGATGCAAGCGTAGCGTCCCCGTCTTCACCTTTACAGCAAACTTCAATTATTAGCAGCCGAATTTGGCATCCTATTATACTTTTGTCAATTTGGGTTAAGCTGTTCGCATTGACAAAGGACCCGGAACCTTAAGATTCTGCCGACGGCGACACATAAAACGTCGGCCCTGATGGAAGGATTTAATTCAAGAGAATTAGCAGGCTCTCCTGACTCGCCAGGAGATGCCATCCCGCAAAACGAGTGCTTGCTTGCCGGCACTAGGACTGCGACGCTCACCATGTCGGTAGATGTCTTTGCGACGGGTGCCACGAACTTTCAGTGTTCAGCGACAAACAATATAATCGATCAGCATCTCTCAGAGGTCTCCGTGGAATGGTCTGGTCGCCTTCTGCCGGTCTTGGAGTTTCTCAAATCCGTTCTGTTCCTATCACTGGGAATCCAGTATCATGCTGCTCCTCCCCATGCCCAGTTGGGTGGCAATGGCAGTGGGATCGCACCGGAGGGGGCGCATGATGCACGCACGATGTACCCCGGTAGGTATCCTGTATATCAGCCACATGACCTACACAACTTAACTCTGTGTTGACGTTATGGTTTGCAGGGGACACCATGCATTCCTTCTAAGCTACCTTTGTTTGGACAGCTATTGACGAGCCTTTCCCTTAACATTGCTTCCATATCTTGGCTGTGACCCACAGAGCTCAACAAATGGATGGACTGGTTGTATCCCTTCAACCTAAAGACCATCCAGCTCCGCAACATAATTACTCCCATGCGGCAGCTTGCAAAGGGGCTAAACTTCGTGGAGATTCCCACATGGTGGCTGCAAGCAATTGAGTGGGCACCGACAGCCTCAATGGTAAGCAGGGTGCTCTTTTTGCCATACAGTAATGTGTTCAAACACGGGGATTGTGGCGGTTTAGTGGCAGTCGTATAAAGTACCATAGCCTCCCCAACCTTATTTGCTTGCCGCCGTTGCAGCCCAAGAACCTGGCAGCCATGCATGTGGCCTGGTTCATCAAGTCTGCATTTGACCGCGTGCAAGCGGGATTCGACATGCCAGCCATTGTTGCCTGCCTCAAGAAGCTCAAGTACGTAATTTTGGGGGCCAAGATGCAGGGATCATTGTTTGGGGCAAGAGGCAGAGACCGTTGTTGAAGGGCAAGAGACAGGGACAATTATTGATTAAAGCCCAAGCCTAAAACTTTACCACATCATTAACCTCCATTAAACCCCGTTGCATAAAACCCAACCCAGGAGCGAGAATGATGCTGGGAGGGGAAACAAGCAGGCATGGCCTAACGAGGAGGCCATGAAGCCCTTGGTGGAGTTGATTTCTGCACTGGAGGTCATGGCGTCATCGGTGCCTCAGCAACTGGCAGGTGGCTATGTGGCTCCTCCTGCCACCACCCATGTCGAGGCCACGGCAGCAGCTGCAACTGGCTGCAAGCTCACGGGGTCAAGTGGTTCCGCTGCTGCTGCAGAGCCTGCAGCAGCTGCACCCGGCTGCGGACTTGCGGGGTCAAGTGGTTCCGCCGCTGCTACAGAGCCTGCAGCAGCTGCAACCGGCTGCGAGCTCGTGGGGTCAAGTGGTGACCTTGTTCCGATTGTGGCCACTGCTGGTGACAGCATGGTGGCAGCTGCTGGTGACGTCGCGGCTGGCCTTCATCAGATCGAAGATGGTGTTGGGTTGCCACCCATGAAGAGGTCACGTCCCACTGTCACCAGTCATGTTACGGGGGCTGAGGGGGCTGAGGGGGCTGAGGGGGCTGAGGGGGCTGAGGGGGCTGAGAGGGCTGAGGGGGCTGAGGGGGCTGAGGGGGCTGAGGGGATTGACAGCGATGCAAGCAGCAACAGCGAGGGAGGGGGAAGCAAGGGGGATGGTGAATACGTGAGCAGCGACTCTGACAATGAGGAGGAGGTGGTTACTCGCCATGGTAAGCTTGATGACATTCCACGAGGGGCGCTCGCATACTTCAAATCTGCCAGCAAAAAGGAGCAGGACGCTGCCCTTGCCATTTTCGATGGTCAAGGCAGCCCCACGGACGTCCTGGCGAGGTTTGGCATAAACCTCAAGCTTAGGCGGCAGGACCTTCGGCGCCTTGCCCCTGGTCTTCCTGGCAACGGGTCCTGGCTAAACGACGAACTGATCAACGCGGCCGTTACCTTCATGCAGGTGCGGTTGGAATGTAAGGAGTCGTCCATAGTATTGCTCGTATTTTATTTATTTTACGTTCGTTTTTAACCTATTCATTTTCCGGCCCCAATGAACAGCCCCAAGGTATTCTCTTCCCAATTTGATCTTCTGTACCTGCTACACCTATCCTTGATTTCCTTTTCAGGTGAGGAACTTCACGGTACGGAGGGGCCGGCTGTATAGGGGCCCGGGCATCAGCCTCTTCCTGTCGTCTTTCTTCTATGGGAAGCTGACCAAGGAGGGGCCTAGGGCCAAGTGGCATCGTGTCCAGCGCTGGACCAAACCTGAGCGCCTGCAAAAGATGCAGGTAGATACGTGGGAATCTTACTACTGGGTTAAACAGCGCTGTATAGGACGCCTTAATTAAATTTAAAATCAATTATAATTCGCAAACATTTTCCTTGTCCGTTCTTTATGCAGGTGGGTTTGGCTTTGCCGCCGGTGCACGAGATGGAATTCGTCCTGGTGCCAATCCACTTCAGCCAAAACCACTGGTTCCTGGTGGAGATCAACATGTCGAAGCAGGCAGTGCGCGTCTATGACTCGGTAAGTTTTAGGGCTTTCCGTTAGGATAATCGTTTTGGATCCTCGACAGCGCAAAACACTGATTCCTTCCCTCTACTTGGGCCCGTATAAATATAATCGGTTGCCATAATTCTGACAATTTCCAAATAATTACCGAGAATAAAACATCAGTAAAGCAGTTTCCTTGATATATCCATGCATGCCACAGATGAAGAGGGAGCTGCACGACTACATGGAGCTCGTCAACAACTTGAAGCACTGGGTTAAGCGTGAGGCAGCTGTACGCCACCGTGTGCGCCTGGACATGCGGACGTGGGACGTAAAGCTGGTGGAGGTTCCGCAGCAGGGGAACACGGACGACTGCGGTGTTTACACTATCTTCTTTGCGGAGCACCTGTCTTTGGGGCTCCCCATCCCGGAGCTGACACCGGAGGAGGTTCCCAAGCTGCGCTTTTCGTACATGCGGCGGTTCCTGCAACACTGGAACCTGCGCCAGTAGCTAGGGTGCATGGCGGGGCGTAGCAAGGCCCCTTTAGTGATAACGAACAACGGTTTTTGCCCATTTTTCCTGTGCTCGCCATCAATGGGGCAACTGCAAGGAGTGTGCCCCCGTAATCTATGTGTCTAGCTGAGGCCGCTGCTTATGTTCGTGTGTCAAACGGTTAAGTATTGGCAAAGATATAAATTTGTGAACTGAAGAGTTTTGTTCATGCTGCCAGTATCATGCTGCCACGCTGCTTACGTGTGCCCGAATTCAGTTGGGTTCATTACTCAGCTATGCATGGATAAGGGTTTACAATGGCTGCCCTGCACGCAGCTTAGCGATCTCATGCTCTCTCTCTCTCTCTCTCTCTCGAAGAGTGGAATTTAATTAAGAATCCAATCCTGTAATCCCAAGCAAGTCCGTAGGCACGTTTCCAAAAAAAGAAACCATATTTACCAACCTATGCACGATAAACACCTGCAGCCAAACATCGAATATTACGTGTCATATTCTACGACATAACGGACTTCAATAATTGCATTTCTCAGCAATTTCACCCCTGCATTAGTTGTTGTCTCTCTAATCCTGCAAAGACCATGCATTTCGTACGACATGAAATTAGCTTAGATCATCTCATGCTTTCTGGCATAAGGCGCAATAATCAGCCGCGCTTCTTAATGACTAAGTTGTCAAGGGCAACATTGGTTTTGTCACCATCCTTGGTGCCAAGTTGATGACTGCCAGACGAGTGCCCCTTGAGGTCAGAGGCAGACGTCAGGCCCAGCAGCCCCAGATCCTCTGAGGACATGAAGGTCGAGGCTACAAGCCTCCGCACCTGGACCTCCTTCGGGTTCTTGCCAGCAGCTAGCCTTGTCTTGATAACAAGGTGCCCGGTGCCGACCTGGATTTTGGCCTCTAGCACCTTGATGCCCTCTGATGTTGTCCGGGAGACACTGCCACACGTGCTGACAAAGATGAAGGGCACGAGCTTGTTCTGCTTGTACGTCACACCCTCGTTCTGTATACATTAAGGGGGAAAATGAAGACAGTAAGCCATCAAAACTGGTTGTAATTAACTTTATGCGGGCTGTACGCAGCAGGCAGCCTACTTGGCTAGTTATATAGCAGATCCTAACAAGCAAAAGAGCACATTCCTTGTCGTTCTGTTCCCCTTTTCATACCTTGAAGCTGGCAGGCAACGATGGACGGCCTGAGGGCGGGGCAGCTGTCCTGGCGGCCGCTGAGGGACTGAAAGGCCTAGGCCGCATCATAGTTGGAGCCATTGAAGAGGCAGCCACACCAAATGAAAGCCGTCGATCTTGAGGCAGGGGCTCCACTGAGGGCGTGCAGCCCACCTGCGGACCAGTGATTATTTGGCATGCCATCAGGTCCGTTTCATACATATCAGGAAAAAGCACAAATCACAGCAAAGACGTATGTGTAAGCTATGAACAGCGGTACGTAATTGCTTACATTTGACAAAGCCCTTCGAGCACAGCACTCAAAAACGTCCCTCCATGCAGGCTAGAGCATTCCACTAACCGCAGCAGAACTCACCTTCTCATTGCATTTGCCGTTGTATCCAGCAAGCTGATGGTGGAGCATGGCTTGAAGGAGATTGACACGTGCCTGGCCCTTAGTCTTGGACAAGTTCTCATAGGCTTCCTGGCCCAGTAGCGTGGTGAGCAGGATAGGGGCATGCATCACCAGCTCTGCAGCAACCTTGCCTTGGCCGGGCGCACTGGGCTTGGACAGAAAGTCCTTGAGCCTGACCAACTCCACTAGGCAAGACTTGGGGTCCGTACACGCAAGAAGGGCAAGCATGTCTGCCGCAGCTTGGGGCTCGGTCTCCATGACTACATTGGCTGTCTGCTTGCCGTACAACCTCAGTGCCCGTGCCGCCTGTGGTTGAATAAGCATGTAATAGTTATGCCAAAATGGGAAAGGAAAATACAATCTAGCCTGCCTAGTTCATCCCTCCAAAAGAATCCTGCAATACGTACCAGGAATGGGTTACCAGCCGGCGTAGAGAGGAAGGTGCTCAGAGGATTCGAATTGGAGAAGAAAGCCTGCACGTATTGGGCCGGTGTAAATCATTATGCCAGGAGGAGGACTGCAATCTATATCGTTCTGCTCTGACAGGGGTAATGCAAGTAGTCCTCAAATCCTGAAACCGAAACCGTCTAACACCCAGAACTACGTTTTGGAGGAGAACGAGCTGCATATAGGTACAGTTTAATATCATTGGACAAGCTTACCTGGTCCCCGTAACCTGTAAGGCCGTAGCCAGTGTAACCATGCATCAGCACAGAGGAGGGCCCGGGTGGTAGCGCTGTAAGGCCGCCGCCAGAGCCAGTGCCATTGATGGAGGTGGCGGCTTGGGTCTCAACAGCGCCGTCGACCTGGGTGTCTTGAGCTGGTTGAGTGCCGTCCTGGATTAAAGAAATGCGTTTGGTTATGTAAGGCCTCATGTACGGCGGTAGGTATCTTACATCCTTGGTTTAACCTAAAACAGCCTTTGCTGCGTACCTGCTGTACCGGGTCCAGCTGTGGTGCTTTGTTGTGCTCGGTGGTGGGCAGCACATCTGAAAAGTCCGCACTAGCGGGTTGAAGAGTGGCCGTCCCAAGAGCAGCGCAATCTTGCTGGGGCTCTTCGGCGAGCTGCTCAAAGGCATCATCCTAAATTGAAAGGGTGAACGTAGGTGGCAATGAAATCCCTCTCTCAGAAAAGTGCAAAGACTCGTATTCCTTCAAGAATGGTAGTGGTACGACACAGATTCTTAGGAGGCGCTTCTAAGTTGGTGGCAACACAACAACTTTATCAAATACAATGTCTCATTAGCGCAGCTTAATAACATGAACCATAGTACTAAGGTGTACTACCAAGGCACTTGCGACTAGAACATCGATTCTTAATAAGGACGCTTTCTTTGACCATTTAGGTATTAGGATTTCCATTATAACAATAAGGCAAACACGAGCTATTCACTGAAGTATGGATGCTAGGGATGCGGCCGATGCCGCCGGCCAGGTGCGTGTAAGAACTTGTCGTCAACTGCATCAACAGGTGGTTTATTAAATTAGCAACTCGTATCCATTCAGGACCAGGCAGAATGTGACATCAACGCTATTGGTCGGAGGGAGGAGTACGACATGGCCGCAGTGGCTAAACTGCCGTTCGGAGTCAATCCTGTCAAGACTGGCAACAAGGAACATAAGTGCCCACCTCCTAACTCGTTGGGAGAAAGCTTCATGCGAGCAGGACCATCAGAGTTAGCAATCGAAAAGCTACTGGAACTGCAGCCTGGCAACATTCGCCCATACAGTTTGCTGCGTGTCCTTCGGCGTCTTGATCCTGCCAAGGGCACCACAGCTCTATGGGATGGAAGCATCAGCAATCTATGTGCTCGAGCCTTCAAAGCATTGGGTTATGTTGCTCATGCGTGCTTGCAGAAGCAGTTTCCCGATCAGTACGTACCACCTTGGCAGCTCGGTTACTGGTGTCATGCCGTGAGCAAGCTACACAATAAAATTAACTGCCCTAACCTGAGTCTTTTGGACGTTCATTGGGCTTGCCTGCTCCTATATCCTTTGCACCTAAGACCGCAAGAGGACGACGAGGTGCTAACACGCTGGCGCAGCCTTTGTGTACTGGTTGACGGGCTAAACTGTGCTGCAAACACGGAAGCAGTTGCCAAGTGTATTGTACAACGCCAACACCATGACAAAAACAAGCTACGATACATCACCTTGAAGCTGCAACCAAGGAGCAAGACGGAGTATGTACACCGGTTAATCTTATGGATGGTGCATGGCCCTCCGTCCGAGACTGTCATACGCAACCATCGTAAGAAGGTCCGGAAATGGGATAACAGTTGGTGTCCCGTGGAGGAGATGGATGCGGCACAGCTAGACATGGTAGAAGGTGAACGGGGTGTTCCGGCGATGCACATATGTGACTGTGGAACATGCCTAACCGCAAGCCACATCTACTGGGGGGATTGCCGTGCTAACAAAAAACAGAATGCGGAGGAGTACAGTCGGGTGGTTGTCATGCTAAATAGAGAAAGGGTAGATGAGAGGTTTTTGCCATGCAATACACCTATTACCGGCATTCCACTTGCTCTGGCTGATGGTAACTAGCTGCCTTTTGCCAGATGCACAGTTATTATCTAGGGGACCAGTTAGGCTTGATGTTTGTGGCTTATGAAAGGTCAGGGTTCGTTAGCAGGAACGTACCTCTTGCCCTTGTTGTGCATTGGGGCTTGGCGCAATAATGGCTTCTTTGGGAGGAATCAGGGTCCGAGCCTGCAGCCATGCGACATGCCGTGGTTTTGAGGTTGCGCTGAAGCTAACAAGATACTGTAACTCATATCTAACTGTTATCATGGCCTTACCTTTTTGGCCTGTTCGTCTTCTTGCATCATTTTAATTAACAACGGAGTATGGTCATTCACGGGCAGGTCGTACACTGCAGGAGGTAGGAATTCCTAAACAGGAGGGGGAGGCCAGGGCAACAGTGAGTCGAAAACACGTACCCTAACCAGAGCATGACATATATGGCAGCATACAGAATACACGGGTACGTTAGTGATATTGAACCTGCCTGTTCCTGTATTTTAACTTCTGGTAGCATGTTGGACTTGCCAAGACTTGTAAGGAAGATATATGCTTGAAACGTCTGGTTGGCACCTGCAAGAAGACGAGGTCTGGTAAGATAATTATTGCTAACGGGAAACCAACCAGCAACTAAGCGTGCATACTATCAGACCTGAGGTTCTTATTGGCAATCTTGTAAGGAGGGTGAGTCCGGGGAATCCTAAGCCTGCCATGAATTCGACAGGTTTAGCTTCATGCTTTTGTACGATAATAAGAGCCTGCGAGGCAAGGAAACATGTTAAATCAGCATGAACCAATGCAACAAAGGGTAATAGCAAGCTGTTCAAATCACCTCGAGCTGAGTAGCGGTCTTCATGTGTTTAGTGACCTTTTCCTTGTCACCAAATCCCTCCCAAAAAGAGAACAGGACTGTTACATCTTCATAATTGACCTGCCAAATACCAAGGAAAACGGCGGCTTTAAACAATCAGGGCACTTTTAGGGCCGGGTTCAAGCCCTGTCTAGCGTGCCCCAACCATGTACACTCACGTCGCTGTTGTCTGGTTTGCAGGAAAAACACTCTGGTGTTTTGTACGCTGTCAGAAGAGAATTAACGTCGGCTTCTAAATGGTTCCAAGGATCTTTCACCTTGTATTTGTCAACATGCGGCTGGAACCTCTCAATAAAATTCTCGGCCTTTCCTCGTTTTACTTTATCCAATTCCCAGCCAATGCTTTTGATTCCGAACAAGAACGCGACTATTACCAGGGTCCTGAAAGAAGGTAAACAAAGTTAAAGCGAGGTACGACAGTTGTAGTACATGTGTGAGCGTCGTACTTCAGTGCACATTTCCCACCTGCCAACACCAGCCCCGATGTCCCCGAAGACGCTGTTCGTGCGTAGGAGGCCAGCTCTGACAAGAACCAGTAGGACTATAGTTAATGTTGCAATTGTCAGTGACCCGTACACGCCTTCCACTCCTTCCCCACCGCAGATTTGGCGCTGCATGGAAAGAAAGATAATTATGCGTGAACCATTTACAACTGCAAGGCTGGAAATTTAACACCGCCTTACCTCAATAACCTCGAGTCTTTTCTGGAGGAAAAAGGTCAGGCGCCCAAGTAGCGTTAAATTCTCGGGCGACTTGCGTTTAGGGGCCATAAATGGCGCAGCCTACATGGCATGGGAAGGCAGGCAATTTAACGGGGTGGCATAGCATTCTGGCGATTAAATTACCGTATTTTACCTGCTAGAGTTCCTGCTGCCGTGGTATCGTCTTGAGGGGGCGGCGGTGTAGCCAAAAGTCCATGGTGGACAAAGTAGCGAGCATGCATAGCATTGAAAAAGTAGGGCGAGGTTAGATATCGTTTTAGGGGCCTGTATTGAAATTAAATCGCAAAAATTGAGCAGCACTTGGTCTTTTCATTCCGTGTGGCGGACACTACCCGCTGGCATCTTGTAAAAGCCCTTGGGCACGGTCCTCCGAGGGAATGTCAAGAGCAAGGTTGGGGAGTCCAGAATCCGCGCATGCAAATGACCCACCTGATGGATTACGGTGGGCGGGCTTGTCACGGCGGCCTTGACTGCTTGATTTTGTAGCCCATAGTCCGAAGCGCACATGCAGGCAATGAAAGGCAGTAAGGCAGAGTTAGAAGCTGTCAAACGGCTATCCGTCTAAGCTGTAAATTGCCTACATGCGGCATCACTCGGTCTCTTCATTCAGTGTGGCAGACACCACCCGCTCACTTCTGCTAGCAGCAGTTGGGCATGGTCTTCCGTAGGAATGTCGAGAGCAAGTATAAAAGGCGTAGAAATGGCGCGCTTAAACTAAGGACACACCTGGAATTGACGGTGCCTTGTGACAACCTTGGCTGCTTGGCACGTAGTCCATTGTCAGAAGCGCACATGCAGAGCATAGGAAGGGAATACGACGAGGTTAGCAATGTCTTTGAGCTGGTTGTGTAAGCAAGACAAACAAGAAAAGATCAGCGCTCGGTCTCTTCATTCCATGTGGCCGACTCAAGCCGCGCACTTCTAGGTCAAGAAGCTACGGCCAGGGTCTTCCGGAGGAATGTTGAGAGCAAGCATATGGAATACACGAGCGTGCTCAAACGGCTCACCTGGATACGTATGATGCGTTGCAGCTCACGGGCTGGTTGGGTACATGTCTTGCTGAGGCTGTTTATGGCTCTCAGAGCCAATCGAGTCCTTCAAGGTTCTGCGCATAAAGAGGATACAAGGGATGGGGAACGGACTCGACTTAATCTACGGGGCAAAACGATCTGGCGGGTGGTTCAAATTTAAGCGAACATGGCAGCGCGCGCACTTCGGTTTCTTACATTCTGCTGCGTTGTTTCACAAGAAATATCCCAAAAGCAACAATGCTGTGGCATTAAAGGACACAGATAGCTTTGTTTGCGTGTAAGGGTGCGAGTGGTGACCAGAATGTCTCCATCCATTTGTCAATGGATACCTCCCCTTGCGCAAATCGTTCACTGTTCGAAGCTAAGAATAATGCTATGCAGAAGTGTTAAAGCAAAGACACATCCGCTTACCTTTCAGGCTTGGATGTGTACCCTTGGCGCGAGCTTCCCTAGTTGAGACCTGCAAGGCACTTAAAACTGCAAGCCCACAGCTTGAACATAAGCCCTTTATGTATATATCATTTAATGTATTAATATGTTGAGAATGCAAGTTGTAGGAGACCTCCTACTAGGATCGTGAGCCCGCTCGTCGTACCAGCTAGTTGGCGCCATTGCACCTATGGCAGCAATTGCAGCCCTGTGCGCATACAGTGTTTGTAACACATAACATATACTAAACCAAACATTCT